CTATTTCCACCGTTAATATACATAATTATACTGCATATACATTTTCCCCCTGTGAAGATAATCTATTTCCTCATCAAGTTGACGCCTCCTCACTCCCTCCAAGACTTTACAAGCTCATTAAACGACTCCTAAATCCACCAGTTTACCCCAAGAGCCTGACTCAAATCACGGTAATCGACGTTCTTTTCCCCGTGAATGGAGCGATATAAGCTGATTTAGATAAGGTGTTTGTCATATGGGAGACAGGGGGCCAGCTTAACGTCATTCCTGTCCTGCTCTGCTATCTGGTGAGGACGGGCGGAAGGTGGAATGGACAGGGGCCAGCTTAACGTCATTCCTGTCCTGCTCTGCTATCTGGTGAGGACGGGCGGAAGGTGGAATGGACAGGGGCCAGCTTAACGTCATTCCTGTCCTGCTCTGCTATCTGGTGAGGACGGGCGGAAGGTGGAATGGACAGGGGCCAGCTTAACGTCATTCCTGTCCTGCTCTGCTATCTGGTGAGGACGGGCGGAAGGTGGAATGGGATGCGTTCATTGTATTACGAAAAGTATGTTTGGAATTATTTTCAGTGTGTATGTGTGTGTGTGTAATGTCAAAGAATGAGTTGGAAGAATTTATGGACGGACGGACGGAGAAAATTAATACAATTATCCCAACTAAGACTATGAACACTATCACAGTCACTCTTTCACTCCCCCTTTGGTGATACAGGTAGAAGCAAACCAACATGGCACTATGCTACTATTACTCCTGAAGCCCCAAAACCTCTTCCGTCAGGCGCCCAAATCTCCTCTCTCTCTCTCTCTCCCCCTTCCTACCAACACCTGCTCTACCTGAATCTCAACCCACCTTTTTCTAGCGGGTTTTATAGCATTAGTTTACAGGCCGTTGGTTTTCCTCGCGCGGGATGATACTCTTTCGCAGATATACAGTACACACACACACACACACACACACACACACACACACACACACACACACACACACACATACACACACACACACACACACACACACACACACACACACACACACACTTGGCAACGTTAAAAATTCCTTCATATTTTGTTTATATTTTAATATTATCCAATCCCACGCTCATGTCAAATTTGTATTCGTTTTGATTTTGTTAATTTTGTCTATCTAGTAAATTTAAATAGACAAGATAATATATACAATGATGTGTGATGTCAAAAACCGAGTCAGGAATAGGCTAGGCTGCGAAAAGGAAAGATTTTCATTGCTTCAGAGGGAACAACTGACTATCAACCAAGAATCAGAGAGGAATAAAATAAACTGATCATTATAAAGGTTCAAAGGACGACAAGATGGTGTTTTAGTGCCCATGTATGTACAGGAGACGTTAATAGTGTGTTAATTAGACTATTACTAGCGCCATGCCAACTATAAGACCATCGTAACTTTTGAACAATGTGTAAAAATTCGACACACTATTAACATCTCCTGAACACACAATGGCTCAGGAGAGCATTGTGCCATCTCTGAGACCCTGAATTAATCATCTCTCACTCCTACCACCCATCCCTTTCACGCCCCATTCTCCCCGTTCATCCATTACCATCTAAACACACCCTGATCCTCTGGAACCAAAACATATTTTTTATTCAAGTCTCTTATTTCTCTGATTTATTTTTATCTTTTGTCTATTCATTCCATTTGCTACTCTCAATCGTCAGTTCTGCTACTACTACTACGACTACTAATTAAACTATTACTAATAAAAGTTAAAAATATAATAATAACAATGTGGCGTATAAATTTCACACACTCCATCAACATAAATCACACCAAAATTAATAATCATGGGAAACCGATGTCCAGTTTCCTCCCCGTCCTTGTAAAGGTTCAAGTTGAGAGCCTCGCCAAATATCACTGAAATATTGCACCTGTTGCGTTATAAATTATTTCACCTTTGGTATAAATTATTTCGCCTTTGGTATAAATTATTTCACCCGCGTGGTATAAATTATTTCGCTTGCATATACAGAACTCACGGACAGACTGTGAATTAAATAGATATACAATCTGAATTACTCCTTGCCATGTTTGCATTAATTAGTGTTACTGTATTTCTCTTTTCTATAAACTCGGTAAGCCATGACGAGTAAACAAACCCTGGGTGTGAAGATGGCGGATGTGACGTCATCAGCAGCCGTTTGAAGTTCATTCCGCCTGATGCTGTTTTTATAAGTGATCATTTATATCATTGTTTATCCTGTACACAAGAGCCAAGGACACGGCCGGGTTAAATAAATATTAATATGTTTACTCACACATTTAATAATATATTTACGTTTTATATAGAGTAATTATCTGTAAATATAATGTATTTCTTCAGACATTTAAATATACCGGGTATGTCTATTCATCCATTTAAATATATAACTACAAGTATTCATTTATTTACATTTATAATATATTCACCTGTTTGTATATTTAAGCAATTATATTCTAAAGATTTAAAGGAATTTGTTCACATATACATTAATTTTAACACTGATTTTACTGTCCATAAATTTACGTTAGGCCTGTTGACGCTATCCGCCATCTGTTAATGTAAACACCACTATTTAAGAGGCCGGTTCAGGGGGTCCACTGGTAGCACAATACTGTTTTTGCCGCTACGGTCATAAAAGAGGCGTCAATGGTGTCTTATGTGATCAGTAATGACTAGTCTTGCCATATGTGAACGTTTAAAATGACCCACTGAGGAAGCTATGTATTTTTATTTACGGGTCATTTTAAAGATTCATAGTTGACAATAATAATAATAATAATAATAATAATAATAATAATAATAATAATAATAATAATAATGTTCATGTAGGTAGAAATATTAGGTAGTACTGCAGCCATTACTTCAGTAGAGTTGGCTCACAATAAATGTGTGTATATATCTCGTGGCCAACCATGAGCACCCACCGGCGGCACAGTCTAAATAATCGCCCTTCAAGTTTAAAGCGAATCACGTAAAGCATTCTGACAACTTGTACCACACTACTACCACCGCCAACCACCACCATCACCACCACTATCACCACCACTACCATCACCACCACTACTACCACCACCACTACCATCACCACCTACCAACACCATCAACACCTACTATCACCACTGCCTCCAACACATCCCCCCACCAACATTAACACCACCAAAAGCTTCTCCACCACGCCAACACGATACGTACACGTCCTCCCACTATCAATATCAGCGTCTTCCCTCACCCCCACCACCTCCTCTACCACCAGTATCTCCCCTCACTACCCCAGCACTTCCCCTCACCACCCCTCCACACCTACATCACCCCAACACCTCCCCTCACCACCCCACCACCTCCCCCTTCACCCAGTAGTCTCTCAGTTGGTGGTCTGCCATCTGACCTGCCTTATCTGCCAACTGCCATCTGCCAACGCGCCTGCCAGAATCACTCACGTCAAAACTATACGCCCGGATACCTGACTGGACCACCTGAGGTTTTTTACGCCTGGCGCTAGTTTTACGCCAACCCAAGCGTACATCAATCACCTGAGAGTTTTCTAAGCAGGTGTTCGATGAGGTACACAACAGAATGGCTTGGTTTATGAGAGGAGGGTCGACTGCTGAGTACATTATTATGTTGAAGTCATTTGATTCCCTTATACCACTACTAACACTACCACCACCTACTACTACTACTACTACTACTACTACTACCACTACTACTACTAACACTACCACCACCTACTACTACTACTACTACCACTACTACTACTAACACTACCACCACCTACTACTACTACTACTACTACTACCACTACCACTACTACTACTAACACTACCACCACCTACTACTATACTAATAGGAGGGTTTGGTTAGATTAAGGTGGTTAATCTTAGGGTGAAATAACTCAGTGTGGAGGGGGCTAATCTTCAGGTGATCCAACATAATATATAGAGGTCAGCAACACTCTCGATAATATGAAGAGCTTAATTAAGGCTCAGCTTATCAGTGCTTGTTATCTATACCTTCACTTAACATCACCACTTAAGGGATAACAATTAATGTAGATAATTTTTTTTTCGATAAGATTCTGTACATTAATTTTGTCTCCTGATTGGTGCTGTATGCCTCCACACACACACACACACACACACACACACACACACCGCATCGTGATTAGCCTGTTCCCCTGTTCAAAACAAAAAGGAAAATCCACGCGCATACGGGCATAAACACCCTTTATTGGCCCTTACCCACAATATATCACATAAAAAAGGGGGGAGGGTGGAGAGAACCACTGAAGCGCGTGTCATACCAGTACACGTGGAGCCCCAGAAGCTACTACTGGGAGGGAGAGGCATTTGCCTGATGACAATGGCCCTCAGCAACAAACACCTGTCAGCCCTCACAACTCACCTTCACTCTTTACGCTACTCACACCTGCAGCAGCGAGGGTCAGGTACACACACTCACACCTGCAGCAGTGAGGGTCAGGTACACATACACTCCTAATAACCCAGAGTTGTTTGGACTATAATGAGAAATGACCTAAAAATGACAGGAATTCGTGGAGGTCGTCAGGCGAGACAGGGACCTTCTCGTTACGCTATTGTCTTGTTTCTTATCAGCTGCCTACGACCTCTCCCACGACCTTGACCCTCTCCCACGACCTTGACCCTCTCCCGCGACCTTGACCCTCTCCCGCGACCTTGACCCTCTCACGACCCCCGGCCCTATCATCCTACAAGCTCCTCACTGCACCCCCTGACTCACACGCCATAACCACACGTTACTACCCATCAACGCAGCAGACGACCTCATCCTGGTTACCTCTACTCTCCTGTAGGTGGTGGAAAGTACCTGACCACCAGCTTGGAAAAACAGCTGTCTAGGAAGTACTGTTCGACTACCAAATGTACTCACCCCCTTGGAAATACTTTACGAGAGAGAGAGAGAGAGAGAGAGAGAGAGAGAGAGAGAGAGAGAGAACACTTACCGTGAGACAGTGAGAGGCGAGGCACCCTCCCCCTGGCTCCCCCCTCACTGCCGCCAAGGGTGCCGGCACTGTCGTCACTGCTGGCGCCAATCTGTAACAATGCCATGACCTCTGTTACTACACAGATAATGAGAAACAAAACATGAACGAAAACACAAAAAGAGAGAGAGAGAGAGAGAGAGAGAGAGAGAGAGAGGTTACTATTATGAACCTGTCGCCAGTCAAGCTAACCTATAGTGACCTAACCTAAAACAACCTAACCTAACATACTAAACCTATCCTAACCTAACACACTAAGTCTAACCTAACCAAACCAAACCTGAAACAACCCAGAAAAAGACCAACTTGGGGCATAATTACCGGTAAAAGATATCGACTTGTTATCGTAATCAAGATTAAGCCTTGGGTGGGTCGGTCAGTATGGGGAGAATTGGGGGTCAGCAGAGAGGGAGAAAGGGTGGGGTCAGCCAGGGGAGAGGGGGTGGGGGGAGAGGGGTGAAGGGTCAGCCGGGGGGAGAGGGGTGGGGTCAGCCGGGGAGAGGGGTCGGTCAGCCGGGGGAGAGGGTGGGGTCAGCCAGGGGGAGAGGGTTGGGTCAGCCGGGGAGAAGGGTGGGGTCAGCCGGGGAGAGGGGTGGGGTCAGTCTGGGGGGAGATGTGGGTCGGCCGGGGGAGAGGGGTTGGGTCAGCCGATGCGTGCTTGGGGGGTGGATTTATTACAGAGAGGTCCAGCAAAACCCGAATTATGAGGGCGATATAAGTCGTGGTGGCTGGGTGTTGGTGGTGGTAGGTGGTGGTGGGTAGTGGTGGTTGGTTGTGGTAGTTGGTATGGTGAATGGTGGTGATAGGTGATTGCTGTGGTGTGAGTGTGGTAGTGATTGCGATAGTTATGGTTATTGAAGGTGGTTGGTTGTTGGTCCTTCCCCTGGGTCCTGCTGGTAAGTCATGCAAGACGGTCTTTAGGAGAGAGAGAGAGAGAGAGAGAATATGAATGAGGCAAGACGTTGACTGAGTGCCAGGAATATAAGTTACCAATCGTGAACAATGCCAAGAACCAGTGCCACTAACCTAACTACACCTCCTCCCTCTCTCCCACTTCTCCTTGCTCCCCCTCCCTCTCTCTCCTTCCCACCCCCCTTTAATTTACTTTCGCCTCGCTCCCTCCCTCCCCCTTCCCCTTCCAGTAAGCTGAAGTTAAGGGGGTCAAAATCGCCCCTTCTCCCCTTGCTACCTTGACAACCTACACTCATATATGTTTACCCCTTCCCACCCCTACCCTCCTACCTATCACCCCTACCTCCTACCTATCCACCACTACCTCCTACCTATCCACCCCTACCTTCTACCTATCCACCCTATTACCTTCCCTACCGTCCTCCCTCCTCTCCTTCCTACCGTCCTCCCCATCCCCTCCTTCCCCCGCCCCCCCACCCCTACCCCCCCCCTCCCCAGGTACACAGAGAGAGCCAACAAGCTGTCAGTGTGTGAGAAGGGCAGCTGGCAACACCACTGTAGCAATGTAATGGTAAACATGTGTACTACTTCCTGGTTCTCCTGAGTGAGAGCACCACTATAGTTTACCTCTGTGTGTGTGTGTGTGTGTGTGTGTGTGTGTACAAAAAACACAAAAGGACATTGACACACACACACACACACACACACACACACAAGAGCACCTCATATTTTAAGAATGTAAGTATGTACCAGTGTTTACGGTATGGTTAGGTTAGGGGGTGAATTAGGTTAGGTTAGGTTAGGTTAGGTTAGGTTAGGTTAGGGGGTGAATTAGGTTGTGCTTCACTGGGTAACGATACTATGTGTTGTTTTAATGTTTAGTGTAGAACCTAAATTTACAACCCTTAATGTACACTCCTAGATGCACCCCCAGAACGTATACAAACCCTCCCGCCCACCCCCCGCGTAGAAGCCACCCCCGCCATAACTCTACGGGGTCACACAGCCACATTTCACTAACGCTAACACCCACCCTTGTGTCGTAAAATGTACTACACCAATTAAGTAATCAACGGGTACTATCTCGCTCACTGTTTAATGTAGTTATATGGTAGAGGTGTCGGGGTGTAGTGTGTAGTAAAGGCGGGTTCGAGATAATGTTGGCACTGAATTATTGAGGGTTCGAATTACACAGTTAGAAGGGTTCGAATCCCACGTTAAAGAGGGTTTCGAATCCCACCTTAATGCGAGTAATTCCCCCCTCCCCTTCCTCTCTCTCTCTCTCTCTCTCTCTCTCTCTCTCTCTCTCTCTCTCCTTAAGACACATGACCCTGGCCAGTATTCTTCAGCACACCAACACGAGACAGGTATCGTGCTGGGGAATTAATGGACAATCACGGTGACGTCATTCTCCTTACTGTTACGACACAAATATGACGTCCACATTACCCTGAGACTCTACCGTAGGTGTAATTGTTCTCAGTTAATGAATAATTCCTCTATGATGTATTTCACCTGATTATTAAACACCCTGACGATATCTAAAGGTGTTGGGATGGGTTAGGTTAGGTTAGGTTAGGTTATATAGTATTACGATTTAGGTTAAGTTATCAGGTTATCAGGCAATGGTTTAAACTATCATCCTCAACGGGTTAAACCTCTTTGTGTTGCAGCTTAGTGGAGTCCTGTAAGATATCACAAGACAGTGAATCCCTCCCCCCCCCCTCCCCACCTGACAGCTGAGAGGGGGGGGAGGGGAAGGGTTTAAGTGGAGGGGATGGGAGGGGAGTAGAGAAGAGGGTAAGGGGATGAGAAGGTAGAGGGGAGAGGAGGAGAGGGGAAAGGTGCTTTTAAGGGACTAAAGGAGAGGGAAGAGGAGTTGAGAAGAAGGGAGGGGAAAGCAAGGGGAGGAAGGGAGGAGAGGTATCTGGTGCAGTTGTGCCCACCATCACGTCTACACGCCAACGCCCCCGGTTCGACCCTCGGCGAGTCTAGCGTCATGGGGCAGGCCAGCGCCAACCAGTTATGAACCAGTGCGTCCCGGTGACCAAGAGAGAGAGAGAGAGAGAGAGAGAGAGAGAGAGAGAGAGAGAGAGAGAGAATAATCCAACACACGTATAATCTCTTTACGTGACTGAGGCAGTGGCTGAGTGGTTAGGATATCAGGGTAACTGTTTTTTAAGTGTTACAAGTCCTGAGTTCGAACCCCGGTAAAGGTATTACTCGCATCCTCACAGGCCTGCAGGGATCATCACACACACACACATCAAAAGGGTGAGACGGATAAGAATTGGAATCTCTCTCACGTAAATCAAAAAGGTAAGACAGGGAGAAGAGATAGGACTCCCTCTCATCCATCACCCCTCTCCTCACTCTCTTTCTAATCCTCCCTCTCTCCTTACCCACACTCTTCCTCCCTTTCCCTTCCACCCTCACTCACTGCCCCCCCCCTCCACCCCCTCTCTCTCCTACCACCCCAACACTCCCTCTCTCTACCACCCCCCCACTTCACACTCCCTCTCTCTACCACCCCCTTCACCTCCCTCTCCCTACCACCCCCCGCTACCTCCTCTCCTACCAACCCCCCACTACCTCCCTCTCCCTACCACCCCCCACTTCACCCCTCTCCTACCACCCCCGCTACACCCTCTCCCTACCAACCCCCCCGCTACACTCCCTCTCCTTACCACCCCCCGCTACACTCTCTCCTTACCACCCCCAACACTCACTCTCCTTACCACCCCCCCAACACTCACTCTTCCTCTCCACCATTAAACTCAGGCATAGTCATGAAGGGTTTTACGAGGTGTTGTGACAGCGCACCACAAACCAGACACTAGCCAGGGCCGCCTCTAAGTCACAGGTAGTCGTCAACACACTCACAGAAACGTAAACAGCACAGATATCTTCCTCTAAGCTTGTGTGTGTGTGTGTGTGTGTGTGTGTGTGTGTGTGTGTGTGTGTGTGTGTGTGTGTGTGTGTGTGTATTATGTGTGTGTTCAGTGTGTGTGTGTGTGTGTGTGTGTGTGTGTGTACAGAGGCCTCGGGGAGTTCGTAATACTGAGTAAAATTAATGACGAAATGCACTGGGAGGAGGAGTGAGAGAAGGTGACCAGAGGATGAAGGGGTAACAAGAATATTTACTCGAGGTGTAAGGTGGTGTAAGTTTGTGCAATAGTAATAATATACGTGTATAGGAAGGTAGTGGATGGTGTACAAACGAGATACCACCACCACTACTACTACTACTACTACTACCACCACCACCACTACTACCACCACCACCACACTACCACCACCACTACTACTACTACTACTACTACTACTACTACCACCACCACCACTACTACCACCACCACTACTACCACCACCACTACTACAACCACCATCGCCGCTACCACCACTTACCACAATCGTCACCAGCATCACCTACCACCCCCTCCAACACACAGCATGTAGTGGGCGTGTCTCAGTATTCATACACTCACCAACACTGTATTAATAAACTCCACACACACACACACACACACACACACACACACACACACGTCCATACATTCCTGCACCATACATAAAAATAGCTAATGTGTATTATTCTATAAACACACACTATACACACAGACATACATTACCGCCATACACAAGGAACCCACAAAAACTGTACACATTCATTAATATACACTCCCTATACACTAATATACACGATTCATTATCCTTCCATCTTTTCATCACACTAATTCACTTCAATTTCCTTATTTATCCTTCCCCTCTTCCCTCCCTCCTTCGTTCTCTACCCCCCCCCCTCCCACCCCTCCCTCCCTCACTCAATACTGTCTTATTAATTGTGTATACCAATGGTGGATCCAGTCGGGGGGAGGGGAAGAGGGAAGGGGGGAAAGAAGAAGTGGGGAAGGGGAGAGGAGAGGGAGTGAGAGATGGGGAGAGTTGTGTCGTATGGTCAAAGTACTTTCCTCCCCTCCCCTCCTCACCCTCACCATGGTTAGACAACACTACGGAGGGAGGGGGAGCTTGTATACGGTTTACGGCGGAAGGGAGTAATAGATAATTAGATAGAAATAAAGAAATAAAGGAAGAAAGAAAAAAGAAAGAAAAAGAAAGCGGCGGCGAAATCACAAGAAATATAAAACACAAGACGTAAATATCATCACACTATATCAAGATTCCGCCACACCACAAGAAGGAAAACAGATCCCGTGACCCCATCAAACACAATCAACTCACCATAATCACAACAATCACCACCACAACCACAATAGATACATCACCCTCCAACACCACAAAACCTCTGCAACAACAAAGCCGTCTTTAAATTACGATATAACATAACGAGTCCTGTCCACTCCCCGCGAGGCGCACCCCTGATACACGAGTCTCGGTCATGGCACTGTCAGAAGCTTGGCCACTAACAACACACAAATTACGGTAAAGTGACCCGGTATATAAAAAATTGCCACGAAGAACCTTACATAAATATTTTTTTTCTTTTTTCTTTTAACCTTATGAACCAATCTACTGTCTATTCTAACTTAATCTATCCTAATTTAACCTAACTGAAACTATCCAAACCTAAGCAAATGTATTTTAACCTAATCCTGTATAAGAAATTCACAATAACATGAAGAATACGATCTTTTGGTATTAACTCATATCATTGCCCGTCTTTGCAAAATACCCCTAAAATCATGAGGTTAGGTAAGGTTAAGTCAGGTTACGTTAGATAGGATAAGATTAGGGAAGATTCAGTTTGATTAGGTTAAGTTTACGGGTCAGTGGCCTTGGTCGTGGCATTTTTCTAACACTGCCCATCTGACCATACCACAAGACTCCCAACGACAATAAACTTCGTCCCCAGCAGCTTGGCATTTCTTAATACACGGCAAAATTACAGACCAGGGCATAAAGATTAATTATAATTAGACCTGATCATGAGGGAAGGAAAATGAAAGATAATTGCTATAATTAAAACTAGATTATCACGGCCGGAATTATTATGAATTGGTAGGGAGACATAATACTGTACACCCCTACGAGATGAAATGTTACATCAGTGTGTGTAAATGAAAATAATAATAATAATAATAATAATAATAATAATAATAATAATAAATGTTTATAGAAATTAAAATCTTAATTACGTTATAAAATCCATCTGGCCGTAACTATCTGTTGACAATTTAACTAGTGATCCTGAAGACCTGTGATTGCTACGTACAATTACCACACAAACTGGTTAGCAACAAAAGATGCAATATCACAGATGGAAACACGTAAATTACAAGACGATAAATTTTAAAATGAGTTAATCTAATGACCGATAAAGACAATAAAACAGCGTTACAGTATTTACTTCCTGATGATTTTCGACGAAATGTTTATTAATATAATCCCTGGGATGTATTACGAGTGACTAAAAACAATATTTTTTTTATTAATCCCGCAATTATTAATATCGCTATTCGCGGTTTATTTTCTAACCTTACCTAACTTAAGAAACATTTCCATAGCGTTAGATTAGGTTAGGTTGATTTGGTTTTTGTTTTTACCGCTATACTGATATTCAAAATGACGGATAATCCTCTTATTAACGAGATAATCCTGTATAATTAAAAGATGAAGCGACCAGTCTATCACAATGTCACCCTCGCCTCAGTGTGGCAATATGGCGTCTCCCGACTCTCCATCCCAGTAGTAATTACTATACACTCGCACAGGAAACCGGGCTGGCAAATATTTTGTCTTAATAATCTAAAATATAAATAAACACTAAATGTGCTCACTGATACCCAATTAAGAGAGAAAAAATAATTTAACGGCCGAATATTTTGCGAATTCAGAACAAGAGTAGTGTCATGAATATATTATGTACAATTACACCATCAGTTTATATAGCGTAGTGGAAGTCTTTCATAATATGGATCTCTGCTTAGGATAATGATAAGAACTTACGCTTGACTCTTTAAATAACCGTGTATAATAATAATAATAATCAGGCGCCGTCGTTTGTTCAGGATTGCATACCTATTGTCTAGGTACACGACAACAGGGGACCAGTACTACACAGCCGCAGAATTTATCCTTAAAAACACCAACTTTACATTAAACACGCACCCTTTATACTTAACACGACGTAACTTTACACTAAAACAGACTTTATATCTAAGATTCCTGACTTTAAAACTAAAACACTTAAAATTTATTCCTTATACTAAAAAACACTAAAACAATCCATGCTAATAAAACAGCCTTCATCCAAGCACCATAACAGAACAGCTTATCTATTAAAACAGTAACACTAAAACAAAACCACCAAGTTTATTACCAGGAAAGAGCACAGACTGTACACTAACTGGGGGAACATGTACAGCACGTAAGCACCATGACGAGGTAGACAAGAGGCACCTTGACGAACTCCCTACAGCAGCTGGTTACGTAAGAACACCATCGATCGCTGGCCAACCTTTTCAGCCGAGTGATTATCCCAGGAAAGCTGCCCCCACACACACACACACATATAAATTGACGCTTAGGTACGTACGTTAGTATATAATTTCCTCTAAAAAATAATGAGCGTGATTTTTTATGTTAAGTTAGTATTTAAGTTTTAGGTACTATATATAGTTAACAAATAACAACCTGTAGTCTCATCAAACACGTCTCTCGGTTGATAATTCTCTCCACTGTTCATTTCCGGGTTATTGTTTTATTATGCATTGTTTTGCTGAGAGCGCGACCTCCAGCAACATACAATAACTGCAATTAAGATGCTAAATCTAACACAGTTTTGTCTCCCATATATTTTATAATGTTGTTAGAATAATGTACAGTCCAGTAATTACAATCCTCGTGTTTAAACACCTTTGTTGAAGCGCAGTAACAATATCATAACAACAGCAACATCATGGGAAGGCCTATTCTGAGAATCTACTGGACTCGGATTCGGATTGGTTTAGGTTCGGTTATAATACCACAATTTTCAAGGCAACACGCAATTTCATCCCTAATGCCAAACCCTATACAAAAATACTAATTTCATATCTTTAAAACACTGTCTCTTCCTGCACGATACTTTGGATGTGAGAATGATTATGACTGCTTTTTCAGTGTCATGTCCAGGGCACTCGGCAGCGCCACATAAAGTGTACCCAAGTTATTTTTACTTGGTAGCCAACAAACTCCATATCATGAGTGTTGTTCAGAATTCTTGGTGTATAACACATTAAAGGTATACTTCAATTTAAATAAGACACTGCAAGTACAGTGTTCTGTACATAGACGGTACAGGTAAACAATGTGCTTAGTCAGTCCAGGTATATAATGCATGTAAACAATGTGTGTATAGAGTAAAACACACAGAGTCCAGGTAAACAAAGATGTGCCAATACAGTATATGGAAGACCTAGTTTGACAGTCAAGTGCTTTACACCCCTGGTAGTAGCTAATAATACATAGTATATACTGAAAATACTCTAACACTTAACACCATAATATCCTGACCCCTGGGGTCTTATAAACACCATTTGTAACCTCTGTTCTGTAATCCTTTTTGCACTACCGCTCATAGGATGACTATGGGATGGACAATAAACTAGCCCCAAGAAAACGTACACAAGCGCCTGGGGATCAACTGAAGATTAGACACCCTAGTTTATTTCACCTGATGATTAGACACCCTAATGGTAACCTAACGTAACCCCCCCAGGTAGCATTATGGTGTTTAATCATGAGGTGAAATAAGCTGGGGTATCTAATTTCCAGGTGATCGACTTCAGATAACAGCAGGTTTTCCATTTAATACGCCATAAGAACTGATAAAAAATGGCGAGGTAGTCATCTGGGGGAGTGGGGGAGGTTACTCAGATCCAGGTCTAGGTTTAAGTCACTTAGTGTGTTTTCATGACTGACTTATTTTTCCCCTATCCAATAGTTTCTCTTCTCTTCATTGCTTCCCTTCTTTCTTTTCTATTATTAACTTCCTGCTTCCTCCTTTCTTTACTCCCTCAACCTCCATTCTCTCCTCTACCAAATTTTCCTATCTACTCCCTCTCCCTCCCTCCCTCTTTTCTTCAACATTGTCTGTTTTCCTTACACCTCATCACGATACCCTACCGTTGTATCTCGTTCCTCACCTTTATAAGTGTCAAGGAGCCTCGAACTCTCACAGCACAAGAAAGTGACAGCAGGAAACACTGTAACGACTGATTTTAAGCAAACAATGGCTTACCTTAGTTGTCAGAGCTCATGGCAAAGCAGAATGATCTTATAATCACTCCCTCACCCAAATTAAACACCTACAGATCGTTCTACACGGGAAATTTAATTATTTTCCTCTCCAGATGCACAACGCCGACACCCTCCACCCCCAGCGCGCCAATTGTTCTCCTGAAACTTAACAGGAGACGATAATATGTCCTATGTTGAATTGTGATTGGTCGAGAGGAAGGGAGTCTCTCTGCGGCTAACCAATGAAAATCCCGATGCTTGAAGCCCTGACATGAACCTGTAGATCAGCTGATAACTGTAAACAAACACGATAACACAGAGGCTTGGTGGAGGAGCAGCATTATCTGGTCTGGTCCAAGTAGGAAAGTTTTGTTATTTTATTTGTTATTTTTCGGTAATAGCTCTCGTACTTATGGTGTTCTTTGGTGTTAAATATAATTATAATACCAAATAGCTCTCGTACTTGTGGTTAGGGTGAAGTGTACAACCTTACATGAGCAGGACATTGTTTCATACTTCCTCTGGTGAGATGTAGAACCAATTAGGATGTGTTGTGAAATACTTGTGTAGATAATTAAAAAAATACTAAAAGGTTTTACGTATTTATATATATAACGGGGGTGAATTTTATGCAGAAGCTTTGTTGTTTGTAGGTAATGATTGCATTTTAGTAATAATGCATTGTCTCGAAGGGCTTACTAAAATTAAGATACGTATTCTAAAATGGATTAGGGCGTGGTTACAGGACAAGAAACAGCTAGTGAGCATTAACTAGTGTAGTTCCCCAAGGCTCAGTACTTGGACCATTATTATTTATTATATACATAAACGACATAGATATCGGCGTAGACAGCAACATAAGTAAATTTGCTGATGACACTAAAATAGGGCGTGTAATTAAATCTGACGATGACTCCGCAAAACTACAGGAAGATCTATACAAATTTTTTGAATGGTCTGGAAAATGGCAGATGAAATTCAATGTGGACAAATGTAAAGTACTTAGTGTAGGAGATGTAAACAGGGAAACCAGATACTAGATGAACAATGATGTTATTGAGAAATCCGACTGCGAGAAAGATTTAGGAGTAATGATAAGTAGGAACCTTAAGCCAAGTAAACAATGTGTTTTTGCTCGAAACAAGGCTAATAAAGTACTTGGGTTCATACAGAGGAGTGTTAGTTACAAGACTAGCGAGGTCATCCTAAAACTATATCTTGCTCTTGTGAGACCTCACTTGGATTATGCAGTTCAATTCTGGTCACTGTATTACAGAATGGATATAGAATCCTTGGAAAGAATTCAGAGGAGAATGACAAGACTAATCCCGGGCATTAGGAACCTTGAGTACAGAGACAGGTTAAAGCGTCTTAATTTTCACTCCCTTGAGAGACGTAGAGTGAGGGGCAATATGATGGAGGTGCATAAATGGAAGGCAGGGCTAAACAAAGGGGACATTACAAAGGTACTCAAACTATCCAACCAGGAGCGAACTCGTAACAATGGTTTTAAATTAGACAAATTTAGATTTAGGCGCAAAATAGGTAAATATTGGTTTCGAAATAGAGTAGTGGACGAGTGGAACAAGTTACCAAATATCATCATTAACTCGAATATGCTGGATAGCTTCAAACATAGGTTGGATGGATATATGAGCAATAGGGGTTGGGTGTAAATGGGACTGCCCAGTATAGGCCAATAGGTTCACTGCAGTTTCCTCTGTTCTTAACTACAGACTGGCTTAACCTAACCTATCATGTGTGCTTTTCATTCCCAGTTATTTTACATTATCATTTCACCACTTATCAGCTTACTAACTGTTCAGGCAGTTGGTTGGTTTGTTCTTTATTACTTTGGTATGACCCTCAATGTCCAGTGTTAGAAGGAGACTGGATTACCAAGAAAAAACCTGTGATGTTTGGTAGGATCACACTAGATGACACCCTGGACACTTTGGTTAGGTTATGGGATAAATTATATAGGAGTGGAGACAAATTGAATTTTTTGCTAGTCATTGTTACACATTGAGAATATTGAACACGGTTAGCATTGGTACCGTCTTGGTTTGATTTGTGTCTGATAACCTTTGTTTGAAGGCCATAGGCGAAACAACACTAGCAAAGGGAATCCATTTCTGAATATGCACGTTAGAAGAGGCTGACTGTACAGTATATATTAGTAAGGAAATATGGACTTGTATGGAAAGCAAACATAAATAATATAGAGAAAGTTTTTGAAGAATAATATATCACTGATTCAAATGAATGAGAATCAATAATTCACTGTACCTGAACTGTATAATTCATAAACCTCTAATCACAATAAAAACTTAATAATGCTACCAATTTTTTGTGTGAAGTTGTAATGTTTTGAAGATACTATATATGTTTGCTACAGTCATTTACCTAAAGTTTTTATACTTTCAGAAATCAATAAAAGATGTTCCACACCATCTGCAAATGGAACGTCGGGCATTATGGGAGGCGTGGGTTTCAATCTACCAGGATCTGCAGGTGAGATAAATCTTTTCTGTGAATTTCAAATAGCTACTTGTACTAAAAAAAAAATTATTTGTAAAGTTTCATTTATTACCTGAGGAAGGGTGAGGACATAACCTCTTAAGACAGTCCTCTGCTCTTGTAAATGTTACCTATACTGTACTCTACATCCATTTAACTATTTTGACTAGTGTCTGACATTTTTGTAGTCAATATTACTGATACACATTATACTTTAAACCCAGCTACATAATTAATCATTGCACTGTCCCATATTAACCCATGAGTAATAATAATCTGTGAAACTTTTTATTACTTTGAACCTACTTAGTTATAGTTGGAGTTGTCAGGCACAAAGTTTGATAACCATTCACATTCCCTGAAATGAAAGAAGGTTTATGGGGAGGTGGGTAAGTTTGGGTCATGTCTTCATCCTTTCATAATTAAAGTACAGCAATAACATTCTTCATTGACTACAGGATATCAAGATTATAGAATAACCAGTCTATTCCATATTCATTTAGTAATAAAATCCTAGTTAAAAAATAAATGAGAAATGTGTTGTCAGATTACTTTTTTAACTGACATAAATTATCTTACATTGATAAATTTTTGTCAGAACATTTCATGTTGACAGGCCTGCAGGTTCTGCAATCGTCCAAGGTTGCTACATACATCAACAGCATCCATCTAGAGGAACTCAGGAATCTTCCAATCACAAGTCAAGTAATATCAATCCTTATCTAGTTAAGAAGAGTTATGAACAAGATGAACAGCACAAACAAAGACAACGGTTTACTCATAGTAATCAAGCGGGAATGCTTTTTGGAATTGTGGGGACTGCAGCTGCCCTTGGTATGGGCTCTGCTCTATGTAAGAGCCAAGGAGAAGATATAATTGATAAAGACTTGCCTCCTAATTCACCAAAAGCTTCTACAAAAACTAGTGTCTCAGTTGAAGAACTCTTGGACAGTCAGGAAATTCATTCAGTTGGTCGAGATGTTGCCGGCACAGAGAAATATGACCCCCGGACTCAAGAATCCTCTGAAGAAGACACTGCCAATGTTCAAAATAGTCCAAAAGCTTTCAGCACTGCAGCAATTATTGGTTCTGTTCAAAAAGAAAAATTGAGTGATCTACAGAAGACAGTGAGGAAATCTCGTCAGCTATTGAAACGTGTTATGGAGGAGGCTGGGGCACCAGGCCTAGTTATATCAGTGTCCGTGGATGGCAAGACAGTTTGGGCAGATGGTATGTTATTCTAACTTGTCAGCCTACAGTATTTGTGACATTTTAGAGCAGGAATAGTTATGCTCAACCTCTGCATATGTCTGGTTCATTTTTAAGAAATGAGTACCCTGTATGTATTAATAATAACTATCGAAAGAAATGCATCTTAAACTAAATTATACAAGTTAAATTTTTTTATATTTATGTATGGAAACGAAACCTTCTCAGACATACAGATATAATTTATGTGGAATGATTATAAAATCCTCTAAAATATTAAAATGGTGTGGATTATAACCTAACCTACACCAAGTGGTTGGGGGATTCTACAATTATAGATACTATTTACGGTAATTCTTTTCAGGTTTTGGCTTTGCTGATCTTGAGAACCATGTTCGGTGCTCACCAGATACTGTGATGCGTATAGCCAGCATCAGCAAGCCTCTGACCATGACTGCCGTTGCTAAATTATGGGAAGCAGGGAAACTGGATCTTGATGCTCCAATTCAGAAATATATTCCAAGTTTCCCTGTCAAAACCTACAATGGTGAGGAGGTAAGACACAAAGGTAGATGTATGAATTGTTAATTAGGTGCATCCATTCATTGTAGATTATATTGTTTTTTTAAAGAAGTGAGATAAAAAAAGGGAAAAGTTTTGTTTAATAGAAACTAATACAGTGAGGGTTTAAAGGAAATAGCTTAATGTTTTTAATGTGGCTTATGTAAGGTAACTATCATAGTAAAGGGTATAGAATGGTGTGCGTATGTGGGAGAGAGGTACCTTCATGCATGCATACTTACATGCATGTGTATGTGTCTTTTTAACAAAGGTTATTTATTGAAAGTATTTTGGAGCCTTTCTATGGTGACATAATATCCTTTAGTTGCAACACAACCAGTTTTTCTTATATCTAGTACAGTATAAGATATTCAGCACATTGGTCTGTATACAGTACCCTAATATGAGAATATGATTTGATTTAGATATACAGATACAGAACAGAAACTGACTCAAGAAGGTAAGGTGGTAAGGTAAGAGTGAGTGAGTACTGTATGTTAGATGTTTGTCAGTGTGGAGGAGCATACACAAGTGAGCATTAGTAAACCTGGGATTTGACTGAAGGTGTTAATGAGGCACTTTGTTGTATAACCAGAAGATATTTAGAACACAGTCAGATGTACAACAGGAAGGTGTTTAGGGTACAGTAAGATATAGATCAGGCAGGTGTTTATGAATGAGATAAATGTAAAACAGAAAGATATTAAGGGCACAGTTGGATACATAATAGTAAGAGGTTAGATGAAAAGTTGCAATCAGATCTTGTCTTCTCCAGGTGACCATAACAACCAGACAGCTTATCAGCCATCAGTCAGGGATTCGACATTACAAACTGAAAGATCCGAATAAAAAGGAAAAGGAGGAACAGAATAAAAACAAAGAAAATGTAAACAAAGTGTCAAAGAAAGCAATAGAGGAGAAAGACGAGACGAATGAAAAAATACAAGATGAAAAAGCAGTCGCCATTAGTGCAGAAGAAGTTAAAAGTGAAAAAGAGTTCTCAGACAACAAACAGAATGGAGATGAGAAGAGTGGAAATTGTATATCAGTAACTGATCGCAAAAGAATGGAGCTATACAAAATCATAAGAGCAAAAGCCAACAAAAGAAGGAAAATGATTGAAAAAGCGGAGGAAGAGAATGAATTTAACATGGAGGAATATTATATTAAGGAAGAATTTGACACCATTCAGGAGGCATTGGAACTGTTTCAAAATGATGAGCTCTTCTTCAAACCTGGTGGGTCTAAAGTCACATGTAACATTAGTGATTCTATTCCAGTAAAGTCAAAATGTATGTAAGTATTGTACTGTATGTCTGATTGAGGTACCCCGTAATTTACCAAAATACTTGACACACGGAAGTCGTATGTATCACACTTGAAAGATACGTATATCAACTAGGAGTGCCTTGGTAATAAAAAACAGTTGTAGGGGCATGGAAGAGATATGGGTGTTGGATACCATTGTGCAAGTAGTTAGGTACTATACAAAGTCAATATTGTACAAACAGATTTTAGAATTTTTGATAGACAATAGACAGATAGACTGGGAAGAAGTCACAGTTTTTCTTATTACTCAATAGATTCAGTAACTTGACAGTACAACATATGCTGTTAACTGAAGCACAGTTAACTGAAATTACATTTCAAAGTACTACAGTACATGTAGCAGCTCTAAACAAGAGAATTGAGGAACTAAAAAATATAATAAGAGAATGGAGGTAGAAAAGTATGTAAGAAGTAATAAGAGTGAGTAATGATAGAGGCAAAAATTGGAAAAAGCATGATAGAGGAAAGTCAGAATAGGCATGTGGGAAGATGTGGATGGACAAGATGAAGGAATAAACATATGAGGAAGGTATAAGTGTGGAAGTAAGTGCTGAGGTGAAGAAAAACTGTGATATTTGGCTGTGATGTATTTGTCAACAGCATGTAGGTAGCCATGGGTGTATGCAGGGGCAGGTGTGATTGGAAGCTTCTCAGGCAAGCAGTAAAGTAGTGGAAAAAGACAGTAACTAAGCCTGGAGTGGAAATTACAGTGATCCCTCGGTTAACGAAATTTCGGTTAACGAACTGCCTTCCATAAGAATCTTCAATTCTGTTAACGAACAAAAATTCGGTTAACGAATTTCTTACGAACCGACCTCAACATGTTTTCGCTTGCACTGGCCGGGCAACCAGCTTTAGTATCAGTCCGCCAATACATTAATCGGTTCTAGGGCTTAAATTCCTTACTATTTTAGTAAATATCAAGAAGTTTATACTATTCAATAATTTTAAAAGTTTAATATTCAATTTTTTAGTCATTTTAACAATTATTGAACATAATTGAAGGTAAAGTGACTAGTTTAATGCGCGGCATCCAGTCTCTTAACACAGCAAACAGGAGTTAGTCTCTCTCTGTTTTCACTGGAGGTAACATCTTGCTTGAGACTCTCTTCAACTAAATGCTTTTTTTCTGTGTTTCCAAGCAAATTATTGGTCATTTTGAAATATATTTTACATATTGACAATATATAATGCAGTGCAGTGTTGACTTAAAGAAAATAATCTTGAAATACACCAAGAGAACTAAAATTTTATGGGTGAAATGGCACCATGGGGTGACTTCTCTTCCACCCCAATGCCTTTTTCTTCCTTCTCCTCCACCCCCATTCTAATTCCCATCATCATCATCATCATCATCCAGGAGCCTTCTACATACACACCTCAAAGTAAGTGTACTTTTCTACCTTTTTTGTTGAATTTAGGCAATTTTCGGTGAGCTGGAACCAATTACCCAAAAACCCATTGAAACAATGGTTTCGGTTAACGAACAACCTGCTGGAACGGATTGAGTTCATTAACGGAGGGACCACATTGAAAAATGTTTAACAACTAAAGTAGAATGAGGTCACAGAACACTGGCTGTGAACAGGATGTATGAATGTGTGGTATTCTTAGGGCAAGGATATTTATAGCCACTGTGAAATTCCAAGCCTTCTACCTAGTTGGATTATGGGGAAAAGGCATGTTAATATAGTGAGACCGTAGTAACAGATGACAACGCACGATTCAAAGTTTACTATGAGAATGATACGATATTGAAATTTAAGTAATATTGTGATGTATATTATTTAGCAACCCATCAGTACAGTACTGCCTACACATGTTGGTATATCTTACATCTGAAGTTTGTCTCTCTCTCTATATCATGTGAGTTATTTCATGTGTTTAGTGTACAGTATTATAAACTGCAGTATCATCTACCAATAATTATACCCTCTACACATTTTCACATACTGTACAGTAATATATATTTTTTATTAAAATTGAGAGCATTTCTTTGATCAATAGTTTTAATCATATATACTGAACTGTACTCTACTTGAATGTTTACCTGACTCTTTGATAAGTTGAATCTTCTTATAAGAGCTATCAGAAACTAAAATTAGATAAACAAAGAAGTTACTGTATCAAAGATTTTAGCAATTTGGCATTAGGTGCTACATATAAAAAATTTATATGTTCTCTCCATTATGTACAGTATGGTAAATGAATGAGTTATTAATCAGCCTTCAACTTGTAGGTTCAGGTTACCATTACACAACTCATGGATGGACGGTCGTGAGTGGCGTGGTGGAGGCTGCTTCCGGGAAACCGTTTACTGAAGTCATTACTGGTCTCTTTTATGTCCTTGGGATGGATAATACATACCTTGACAAAAATAATCCCATTATTTATAATAGATCCAGGTAAGGCAAAACTACGGCATTTATTTACCCAGTACAGGTTGTACCTCTCTAGTCCGGCATTCTGTGGTATGGAACGATTTTAGTTTGTCCAATAGGTAGATAAGCAGCTTTTTTTTTTTTTTTTTTACTTATCTGAATTATTATTATTATTACAGGAGTATTAAATTTTGCCCCTCAGGCCCTAGCGTGGGTCAGTGACCTATTCCGGGTGGGCTAATCCTTAAAAAGCGTGAAATTAAGATTTCTGTTTACATCGGCAGTTAGGCTGCTCTCTCTCTCTCTCTCTCTCTCTCTCTCTCTCTCTCTCTCTCTGCTTGTCTATACAGGTACAACATTTTAACCCTTCAATATATATGAGCAGTAAATAAGTGTTGCTTTCATATTCTTATGTATACTTAGAGTAATGACGATATATTTTCACATGTGCTTATACGAGTAGTCTCCTTTTTCTTCAATCCATCGGATATATTGTTCATTGTAGGTAATTATCAGATAATAATCCTCATTATCATTATAAACAATGCCGGCAGCCGTCTCGTCTCCTCTAATATTCCACGTATTATTAATAAATTGTATTGTTAATTTTGCACACACGTACATTAATTCAATAAAAACAAATTCAGAAACATTAATTAAAATATATATGAACAGTAAATAAGTGTTGCTTTCATGTTCTTATGTAAAGTAATGATGATATGTTTTCACGTGTGCGCATGCGCACTTACATATGCGATCTCTCTTTTTTCTTTACCATTATCGTTAGCTACTTCTATTGTTCCATTTATTAACATTAAATAACATTACTTAAAACAACCATATTAATTTTACTACAGCTACAACCAAGGTCTTATTTTCTTCAGTTTTATATGTAGAACCAGTCAGTCACTGGTTTTGTAATCAACGAATACAATGCTGTATCATTTCCTCGTGTGTTTTAATATTCTACGTATTATTAATGAATTGTATTGCTCATTTTGCACACATAAACATTAATAAACAATAATGAATCTTTTGTACATTAGAGAAATGACGCTGTTTACACGATTATGCACGTCGTCTGCACGTTGGCGAGCCGTTCAAACCCGTCGAAATTCAAGTTTCCGCCGTCAGAATTGTTATTTATTTATTTTTTTGTGTGTTCCAATAAAATACGTTAAGAATTAAAAACTCGCGAAATTTGAGAAGCTACTATACGACATTTAACCCTTCAATATGTCTTCAAAGAGACCATGATGCAGAGAAAGTGGTGCTAGTGCTTCCAGGCATAAGTACAAATCACTATCTATCCAGGAAAAGGGTGAATTTCCATGGTCCGGCACCGGTCAGGTCCCGAGGTTGCCGGACTAGAGAGGTACAACCTGTACTACAATTACCTGTACTGTACTGTATTCTCCTTCATATCATTACTCTATACAGTACTGTATAAAGCTTTTACAGTCTTTACTTGTACAGTATATTGTTGCTCAAGGAGTAATTAGTTTCATATTAATAGATTTTTTTATAAAGAAATATAATGCTTGGGACACTACATATTTGTTTTATTCTGACATTATTTACAAGCTCTTCACAGATGTAGGGTGGCACAAGGTAACACAGCTCGTTATATCGAGCATCACCCAATGACCTCAGATTACCATGTTAAGCTGCCACAGGATATCAGACAACTGGATTAAGGTGCATGACATCACCTTGTCTGATGTTGGGTTAATATCTCATTAACCTAGTAAACAAGATTAAGATTAAAACAAGGTTGTACAATAAAGGCGATTTGACACACTATTGTTTTCAGAAATTAGTTACACAGAGTGAGTTACGATACTTTGTGAGGTGATATTAAGTAATTTCCTCTGTACATTATATGTTTCTCCTGATAATTCCCAGAGCTACAGTCTCTTTTGGTCAGTCACAACCTTCAAAAAGACTCCATCTGGTGGAAGTTGTTACCTTGCTAAAAAAGAATGTACTGTATTACACATTCATCAGCAATGTCTAGTTGTGTATTCTAGTGTGGAAGTTACTGTACTACTGTATTTCATTATTTACCTACAGTACTTGGTTAATTCAGTATTTATTCAGACATGGTAAAAGTTTATATCATACAGTACTTGGTTTTTCTTTGTTAAGGAACTATGTTCGTGACGTACATGGAAAGCTGATGAACGCCGCATACATAGACAACTCTTATAAGTGGGCCGGTGGTGGATTCCTCTCTACAGTTCATGACCTCAGCAAGTTTGGAAATATCATGCTGTATGCAAGCCAACACAACAGTGACGATGGTTTGTTTATATCTTTGGATAAATTCTCGTTAAACTAATTTCTCTTCTTCCTTTCCCTTAAATATCAGTTCCACCTACGGAATTTCATTGCAAATTTCTTCTTAGAGGATCTTTTGCTGAGGTTGATAGTTTGACCTTTGTTTATGATACTAACCATATTTTATTTTATTTTTTATCAGGAAGTACAGTAAAGAAAGTTGTAATACCTATACCAGTATTTGAATTACTTTGTCAGGTACCCAAAGTGTGCCAGGGATCTTGAAGGTATCAACCATGCGAGATCTCTGGACACCAGTGAAGGGCACCGGGCCCCTTGGTAGCGGCTATGGAATGGGTTGGGGCGCTGCAGAAGACAAATATTTATGTGGATTTTGTCGAAGTTCTCGACGTCATGCTTCTCATTCAGGAGGGGCAGTAGGGGCCAGTAGTTGCCTCCTGGTTCTGCCCAAGCAAGATTACAGCAGCAAAGAGCATGGGACTCCCCCTAAAGGGGTTGTTGTTGCAATAATCACCAACATGCAGGGTGTTCGCTTGAAGAACGAAGCACTGCAGATTGCTAAACTTTTTGAGAATATTCAGTAACATTTTTAGATATTTAGGACATGCATATGGGCAGTCATCTAAAGATTTAATTTTTCATAATATAAACCAAACTGTATTTTATAACAAACAAATGGATCTTGGTTGTAGGGAACCTAAAGTATGCATATTACAATAACACTGTACAGTTTTCAGATACAGGTATTTCATGTAAATTATATTGTCAAGTAATACAGTATTTGAAGAAGAAAAAATAGCATTATAAATTTATGCTAATTACAATACAATACAGTACTGTATATGGAATATAAATTGCAATTCATTAAGCACGCGTGTAAATTGTCAACTTCTTGTAGACGTCTGATGATGATAAAATCCCCAAGTAACTTAATACCATTTTATGAACTCTTAGTCTCAGAATACAATAGTTTGCTTTCCTAATAATTAAGTTACAAATTAGATTTTTTAAAGAGTGGAACGGTATATTTTAATTATTACAGTAATATTTTGGAGTTCCAAGCTGTGGGGTACAAATTTTATCTGATGACCAGGTCTTAGGTTCTGATCGTTCTTCCAATAAAATTCTCTCCAAACTGAAGATTTAAGTACAGGATGCACCTAATTGTCCCCCTTCAGTTACAATACAAAGATGTCAACCAAAATGGCACTGAAATTGTACTGAAACTACCTTAACTAAATAATGTTCTTTGAACCTCAGTCAATGAAAAAAAAATAATGTAAGAATGATTGTAATACAGACATAATTAGGGTGTGAGGGACATTTCTGTTGATGGTACATACAGTCTAGTCTTGTTAGGGCTCCTAATTCTTCTACCCTGCAGTGGTAGGGAGCTGTGTACAGGATGTTAGATTTAACTTTTGTACAGTCAACAAAAAAAATTCTGCACCTTTATGGTGTTATACAATATGACATACCGGACCAAGAATTCTGAAAACACTCATTTACGTGGGCGATTCCTGTTAATGTCTCTGTATTAACTATGGTATATGATATAAAAAATACATCATACTGGTTATACAATGCATCACACAACCAGAAATACCAACCTTACCATATTAACATGGCCTCAGTCAGTGATCGTTGCAGAAGCCATCAGACCAAGGGGTGCAGAATATTTTTTGCTGACTGTACATACATTTAATATAAAATAAAATTAAAAAATATAAATATATAGTGTACACATTTAAATTGTGTAAAATATAACAGATTCTGTACAATATGTATAAGTTTTATTGATGTGCTGAGGGAGTTGTTAATATTTTGAGTTATTATGAAAGTGAGTTGACCAAAGAGTTACCAGAGTAATCAGAAGAAATTTGTCAACAAAATGAATTGCACCATACAACCTTGTGAGCATGCTATTAACATCTTGTAAGCTCTTTCTACCCATGGCACAGGGTGGACTGTTTTAAAAGCAGACACTCTACCCACACTTGCTAATATTTTTTCTCACTACCTGCCTTATTCGCTTACAGTGTTACCCTCTACTAAAAGTCCCAACGATATCCATCTGCTTTTATCCCAATCCTTTATTACACCCCAAGTTTGCACAGCTGCAGCACATTAGCTTTTTGTTAAGAAAGAATAGCTTTTCAGAATATTGTTCCCTCAGGATGATGATGTGCCTTATTCTAGTGACAAAAAAAAATAATTCTTCTCCTTATTAATGTAAGATCACCAAAAATTAATTATTGTAATTTACACTTATATTTTCTTTCATTCATTGTCATCATTTATTCTTACTGCTCAAAAATATATACTGTACAGTCAGTCTCCGATTTACGACGGGGGTTTGGGACCGACGACCAGGTCGTAAGTCGACTTGGTCGTAAGTCGAAAATGCAAAAATAATACATAGAAAATCTAAAATGGGTGTTTCTTATTCTTCTCAGCACCACGGGAACTCTCACTTTTATGCTTGCTAGCCATTTTAAAGGGAATTACAAACGGAAATTTTGTCAGTACACAGAGCGATCACAAATGTCGTGACTCGAAAATACGTAATTTGAAAAAAAAATTTTACGACTGCGGCGATTGTAAGTCAAGGAGTACCTGTATAGTATTCTGCTATGATAATTACTATATCTTCTTCAATGCTCAAAATCTAGTTTTCTACTGTCGCTTCACACAAGCCAGCATCATCCATCAGCACCATGTCCTTCCCCAAAAACCTCTACACCAAATTTTTCAGTTGTTAATGCACACTCTTCCTTTTGTAATGTCTATCCTCTTCACATCTAGTGTATCCTTCCATCTAGGTCTTTGCCTCTACACTTTGGATATTTTGCTTATGCACTATTTGCTATTGCTAATGTTCTTATATTCTTATATAAATATTTTTCAATAAATATATAGTACAGTACTGTATAAGAATAAAATAATTATCTAAAAGTGTTGCAATTTTTTACATTAAGCTCTTTAGTGTTCCTCAAATAACTGCCCCACTGTTTACCAACTTTTTAGACAAAAAGATCACAACAATAGTATATAGTATCAGAGACTGTTTCTCGGATCCTTCAGCTTTCCGGCCTGAGGATAACAGTACAGTACAGTACTAAATAAACCCCCCCCCCCTATACTACTTGGGCGCTGGCTACTACTGTATGGTATCTTTTTACTTTTATCCTCTTCGCCACTGATTGGCTCGTTAGTCACTTGGGTGGTTGGTCACGTCTCTGATACACACTGTTGGGGCTTAGTACTGTACTGCTGCTACCATAGTCTAGTCCTGGTACAGTACTGTATGTATTAGTGTATTACCAACATAGCCTCGTTCCCCACTGTTCAACATCCCTACCTCATATAGCCTATTACTGCCATTTCCACATCTTGCCTGGCCCTGATGCCGCACATGAGCTGAAACATGAAATGAATCTTCACCCCAGGACTCTCCCGTAGTGAAGCTATTAGGGCGCGTTCACACTGAAGCCGGAATCGGACATATTGTCCGATAGTTTCATCTGGGTGGAAAAGGAATAACCAATTGCAGCTGACATAATCCTACATGCCAGTGTGAATGCCTCACCCAGAATGTGAAGTATTGCAGTGAGTAATTCTGTCTGGTTTTTTTTTTTTTTCCCAGATGAAAGTGTCGGACAAATTGCATCAGAATTTGTCTGATTCCGGCCTCACTTTAAATGTACCATTATAAAAATAATAAAGGAAAACATTTTAATATTCGAATGAAATAAAGGGTATGAATGAATGAGAATAAAGCATATGAGAGGAAGGCTCCTATGTGATATGGATAATAAGTGTTCTCAGACCTGCTAAGTGGCAGGTCAACATAATAGGCTGACCGAGTGTCAGCATTATCAGCTGGTGGTGCTACAAGTTGCTGACACACACACGTGACTAGCGTATCACTAATTAAAGGCCGGTTGGCCAACATTATATATTGCCCCTTTACCGATTACAAACTTGATATTGCCTGGCTCTATCAGTTCGAAAACACTTAATAATTCGATAACAACGTAAGCTTTTTGCACAGTACTTATTTTACATAGTTGGTGTAAATGAAAGTACTGTACAAATAATTACATAATACTTTTTTTTTTTTTTTACTTTTATCCTCTTTGCCACTGATTGGCTTGTTAGCCGCTTGGGCGATCGGTCACGTCTCTGATTACTTTTCCTTTTCATTTATCTCCTTCACCAAAAGATCGGCTCGCTAGCCGCCCGGGCGATCGGTCACGTCTCTGTCACGCACTGTTGGCAAATACTGGGCATGCACAGGCTCCTGAATGTGCCTGAACCCGCTCTAGTGTTGGTCAAGTCTTGTCTTGAAAGAGCTCACACTCGGTGCCGTCACAACACTCTCTGGTAGATTGTTCCAAGAGTTTACAACCCTCACTCCGAAAAAGTTTGCCCTCACGGTTTTCTGGACTTGCGGCTTCTTCAATTTTGAGCTGTGACCCCTTGTGGGGCGAGCGTCCGCCAGCTCCAAGTAAGGACACTCAACTGAGTAGTGCCCCTTTGATTCTTATACACCTCAACTAGGTCCCCTTGCCCGTCTGTAGTATAAGCTAGGCAAGTTCAGGCGCCCAATCTCTCAGGGTAGCTGAGGTGCCGAAGTGCAGGCACCAGTCTGGTGGCCCTCCTTGAACATTTTCAACCAACTGACAGTCCCTAGCATATTTCGGGACCAGATGGGGTGACAGTACTCCAGATGGGAAGCACTTACCTGAAGATTGTTACGAGGGACGGATTGTCTAGATATCTGAACGACCTTCTTAAAGACCCAATAATTTATTTGCCTGATTTACCTTCTTCTAGCAATGGCCCAAGAACTTCAGCTCATTGTCAACATACACACCTAGGTCCTTCTCACATACAGTCTCAACTAGTGCAGTTTCTTCATCCCGTTGGGACATATGATACACCTCCTACCGTTGGTACGCCCCAGGTGCATCCTCTGACACTTCATGACATTGAATCTCAGCAGCCATTTCTTCGACCATTCCTGGAGCCCACAGAGGTCCTTCTGCAGTTCTTCACAGTCTGCTTGGTTCTTAATTTCCCGAAATAACTTGGCGTCATCGGCAAACATTTGTATGGAGGAGTGTACAATTGTTTGGAAGTTATGAGTTATCAGGGTCAATACAGCGGAGTTGTGCATAAACTGTACATGGATAATTATGTCGCTCCCATAGGTCAGCTGCCACGGTTCACCCACCTTCATAAAGCTTCAACGGTGTCATGGATATGTTGACTTGACCATATCTGGTAGTGATAAAAGGCCGCCCTAACATCCTAATACGCACCGCCGATATCAAGCACCATCGTCCCTCTTATCTTTTTCCATTAACCTCTTAGCTAACTCTCGTAGCAGTAAAGTAATCACAGCCTATTTCATTGTAGAACATTAATAGGCGATATTATGAGTGAAAAGTTTGAGGAGTCTGATTTTACTTTATTTTCATTGAGTAGAATATCCGGTGTTTCCCACTTTGGCGGTATTTTGATGTCCTTGCAGTAGTAAAGTTCAAGACACCAGTTTACCGGTACAGGGTTCAGGTAACAATGGATTTATTATTTCCCCTCAAAAAAGGAATGGGGTGTCTTCTGTTAAAGTTAGAAAGTATCCGACACAACATTGCTGGAAGAACCACAATGTCGCGAATAGAAACACTAAACATACATAAATTGAGATTAAACGTCCTGAAAGTGGCGCGCCAACTGCTGGGGCACAACAGTAGTGTTATCAAGAGCCATCATAATTGAATCTCCTGTTCTAGAAACACTTACCTTATTTATTTAGCAATTAGTCTTAAAATCATTTAATAGAACTAATGGAAAGATAATATAATTTCTTGTGCCGGTAGAACACACATTTACAGTAAAACAGGAAACGAAGCAATGCTAAACTTAAGAAATAATGAAGAACAAACTGGCAACGCAAGGTCCTGCCTCAGTGACGTCACAGCACGGGTTGCTCGTGGAATTTTTGTTGCTGTCTGTTGTATTAAAAATGGGAACAAAAAAAAACACGAAGAAACTCAAAATAAAAGCAGCAAAGATAATTAAAACATATTCACTGAAAATATATTACTGAATAAGTAAATGAAGTGATGACATGCTAGGGCGAGTTATGACACAGATATGCAACAAGTGTTATAAACATCAGCAGTGTGTGTGGAGCTCACGAGCCTGGCAGACACACTGTGCTGCTAATTACTAGCCACGCCTCACCAGTCACTACTCCACCAGCATACATAACACCTTTTACTTAAACACTGTATCTTCTAATTCGTTCATATTTTTCCCGATGAATGATGGCAAATAATTTTGACAGGATTGTTTAATGATACCTCACTGACAGATCCCAGTCAGGAAGAATAAAAATGTTTCACAGTATTTTGATAGATTAAACTCTTTGAGAGCCAAACTCTCCCACCTATTATATAACTCGTGTGCACATAAAGTTTACAAATAACCAAGATGCGCTGCGTACTATTATATTATATATTCAATTATTTACTTGAATCACAGGGTATATATTGTTACTTCTTTTTCATATACTACTGGAGTTGTTTACACGCTCGTGAAGTGATGCGCTGTTTCGTCTAACAGGGAGGACCTTTTCATCCAAATGTCAGATCTATGGGATATTTATAAAGTAAAGGTTCCAAACTTTCTCCAGATCAATAGAAGTCTTAGTTGTTTAAGGGTGGAGTGGGGCGGAGACGGATTATGAGGGTGGTGGAGAGAGGAAGGTGAGGGGTGTCGAGGGGTAATGAGGTGTGGTGAAGAGTGAAAAAAATGGGAAAGGGCTGATGAGGGGTCCAGAAGGGTGGAGACGGATAAATGATGGGTGAGAAGGTGGAGTGAACCGAACAGTGATGGAGGTGATTCGAGCAGGGCTTCAGAAGCGGTCGTGAAGTGTATAATGAGGCTTCATTGTTTCAGTCAGGTTACCTGACTCTCAAGCTAACATTCATTATTTCTGTCATTATTATCTATTCATGTGTTACTGTTATTATCCATACTCAAACACATAAAATCAAGCTGATAGCTCAAAGTAAAACCACCAAGCCTTACTTATAGACATTTAACTCGAGTTACCTTTTACACAAGCTGAAGCTTACCTTAAGTGATATTGACTCATTGAAACTTATTCATGCCTAAACCAACCCCTGCTGATACTTAAACTTATTCAAACTGACACTCCTCAAGATGAAAGTTGCTTCAGCCGACACTCAAGCCTATACGTACTTAACCTGACAGTAAATGTAATTGGATATTTAAGCCTAATTAATTTTAACCTGGCACTCAAGTTCCATGAGCTACGACTGTAACTCAACTAAGCTGGCACTCACTCAAGCAGTGATGGCCTGTAAAACCATCGTTTGTGTACATAACGGCTCTCACAACATACTGGTCTTCATGGTAAGATTTATATTTTCCTGTTATATCTTTTAATATATTATGTTATAAGTATATTACACTACATGGTAAACAATTTGCCATTTACAACTGCCGTTTAAATTATTTGCTGCCTTTAATTACATTAAAATTATAGTTTTGACAAATTAACAAACTGGCGTCGATATTCTAAACTCTAACAAGTGTGAAGAAAGTCTAATTAAGAAGCGTTAATCTCATAATCTGTAACAATAAATATACTAATACCATTACTACTACTACTACTACCAATAATAATAATAATAATAATAATAATTTCACTTAAGCATTAAAGCTCTATATGCAAAGTTCATAATTACAAAGACGTTTATTTACAAGACACACAAACACATAATATGTTTTTTTTAATAAAACTTCCCTTACCATCTCATCGTGAACTTAGTCGTAAGGTTTCTTAATGTTGCACAGTGATACGTGCTTCATGTGGCTTCTGTCGCTCCCTACCGTCACCCCCGAGTGACGTGACTCAACGGGACAGCCGCTCAACTTATTGTTATTGTTATTTGTAGTATGAACGAGGGAATACCCGACTTACAACCAGTATATTTTTATTTATTTATCGATATTTCAGCAATTTAACTAGATTTACTCTTTATCTTAATTTCACATAATATTGATATTTGTCTTATTTTGATCGCTTATTGTTTTATCAATTGAGTTGGTACTGATTATACTAATTCAAGAAGCTATTAAATTGTACTACAACTTAATCGGTGAGGGCCTGAGTTTGATAAGACTCATCATTGATAAGACAATGTAAACGTGATGATCATATTTAAACACTTCAATACTCTTATATTCTACCCATGTCCTTGTTCGTCCTGGGGAATCACGATGAGGCCGGAACGCTGACCACTGTAAGTAACCAATCATAGCCTAGTTTACTGAATGGGCGTGGCAAGGAGCCAATCAGAGACTGCGTTAGGTTGAGTACGCTGGAAACGTCTTAGCCTGTATGGTTAAGTTGCCAGCGCTCTATAGGCATACATATAAAAACATTCAATAATCTCATCGACAAGGTAAGAATTATAAAAAAGTTTAAATATATAATTGTATTAAATAAATTATATACTTGAAATTTATAAACTATAGTAAACTTTTAGTGTAAATATACCATTGAAATAACACTAACTAGCACTGTGTCCTCGGCGGTCACATATATTGGGTGTGAAACTTGGCGGCGAGTCATTGCTCGTGGGGATTCCTTAACGTCCTTGTTGGGTGTTTCTGCTCTTTTGTGGTACTTTCCGCCAACTGTAAAGACAACAAAATGGTAAGTGACAAAAGAAGTTACGGTAATTATAATCTCATTGTGTGAAAGTTATCTCATTTAACCAAATTTATTACGCTCCAAATACTTTTTGTTAATAGCAGCCCATAAAGTTTTTGTACTTTTTGATAACGCAGACCTAGAGGGCGTCAGTTTTGCCAGGACTAAGAAAAATATTATTTTTTCTTTCCAAATATATACAATCAAAAATTGTTGTAAAGAGGTTGTTCACCCTTTAAATGTACACAAGCTGATGACCTTCGGTAATTATTACGCCCTTTCGCCATTAGGAAAGTCAGAAAGTTTCAGTACTTTCGCTATTCCGTTGTCATTGACAGTTTGTAGTTCATGAAGGGATTTGAAGAGTAAAGTACTAGAATTATTATTGGAATCATATTTTTTTGTTCTTTCGGTGTACAGAATGAGGATTGTTTATTCCGTCCACAGTAAGGAACTTTCCACGTACAGCATACTTTATGTATTTGTAAAGGCGTGTACAATACTACCTCTGCGTGTTTACACACACTTTAACGTGTGTTTGATGTCCTCGGGTTTGCGTGTGTATTGAGGGTGTTTATATACGCAACATGCGAACACGATTACTATTAACCCCTTCACTTCAGAGGCGCCACTTTTAATATTGTAGTTGGCTAACGCCAGACGAGTTGGTTTCTGATGGTTAAGGCACCACCATAACTAGACTTAGGTAAACTAAGTTACGTTGATGTTGGGAACAATTGCAATCATGAGTTTCGCCGCCGGCTTCAGGCAACAAGCCTGAACCTCCCACACTCTGGGTTACTTAAGTTTCTGGATAAGCATTCTTAACCTGATCAGTTAATAGTGTCAGTAACTATTGACTCTAGTATGTACACTTAGTCACTTAAGTTTATTGTAGAGCAAATGGTGACAAATATTTTGCTTGACTCTGATGACAACTCGCCGTCGCTGCTACACTATTTCCCGTCCTTGTCCATGTCTTTGTGACTGAAGGAGGGCGACCGATCACCAAGCAACCACGTCTTAACTTATTTTACCCCGTATACCTCCTTTCACGTGTACTAAAGAAACCCCAACTTAAACTAAATTCTCGGAAGTATAGATTTAGTGGTAGTGAGAATACAGCATATATTACCGGTGGAAATCGTGGGGGAAAAACTGGGTTAAAGTTTGATGTAATTGCCAGCGATATGTGGTAACTGACCAGCAGGTGCATGACGGACCGGGAATTATTAAAAGGCAATGCTAACACTGAATTGAAAGACTTGTAGCCAACGTGAACAAAGAAGTCATTATTTTTATCATGATCATTTTTATAATATTACTTCCATCATCATTTAAAGTGATTATTGTAGTTTGCCCAAAAATTTTATCGTAAACTGAATTTCTACCGAGGCCTTTATTATATTGTATTGTAATATTTATTGAATTAACGATCCGGATATGTCTTGGATTGTTATTGGTCGGCCCAGTTATTCCTACGTACGGGCTGGGACACACACTACTGTTGTATATTTTACTTTGTTTGCTGTATTTTTCAGTAAACCATTATTATTATTATAATTAATTACTATAAATTTGCCCTAGGTAATGACCCCTTACGTGACCAAGTGTCCAAAATTAATTATTACTGCAGTACCTGGTATCCTCACCACCATGATAAGTACAGTACAGTGTGTGTGTAGAAGTATTGATGTTTACATGTATACGTTCATGCATGTATACACCAATATGCACACACTTACACGAGAGCAACTCACTTTCGCTCGGAAGCACACACACACACACACACACACACACACACACACACACACACACAAGACCACCTCACTGTTTATCCCAAAGATATTTAACTCAAACTGTTTCCTTTCTCCCTCCTCCCCCATTTCTCCTCATCCGAAAATAACATCAAAATGGAATTCCACCACACCCAACTGCTTCCTGCCTCCAGTCAGTGGAGAGAGAGACTATTGCATATACACTGGGCAAACCAAGACGGCGAGTCATAACAGAGCCTGCAAAACCCACAGTAATTTGCTCCGTGTGTGTGTGTGTGTGTGTGTGTGTGTGTGTGTGTGTGTGTGTGTGTGTGTGTTCGCCCTGGACGTGAGGTAACCAGAGTCTAGATTCTTCACCCTCCTTCTTTCTCAACTAATCCACTGTCTCTCCTTATTGTCTTCCTCCTCCCCCTTTCTCTCTAGTGTCAGTCGTTTGTATACGTCATTAGCTCTTCACTATTATTTTAACATAATTTTGATTATTATCTTCACATATACCATACTGTACATGGACAGCATTATACATCATATATCATCATCATCATAGTATTTTAGCCTGTGTATCCTAAGAGACTCTGTGAGGATAAAGGGAGGAGGGAGGAGGGGTAGGTTAGGTTGAGGGAGGAGGGGTAGTGGGTGGTAGGTTGGTGAGGAGGAGGGAGTGGGAGGGGGAGGGGTAGTGGGTTAGGTTAGGTGAGGGAGGAGGGTGGGGGTGGTTGGGGGTTGGGAGGAGGAGGGGTTGGGGGAGGGGGGGTGTTGAGGGAGGAGGGTAGGGTTAGGTTGTGAGGGAGGAGGGTAGTGGGTTAGGTTAGTTGAGGGAGGGGTAGTGGGTAGGTTAGGTTGAGGGGAGGAGGGGTAGTGGGTTAGGTTAGGTTGAGGGGAGGAGGGGTAGTGGGTTAGGTTAGGTTGAGGGGAGGAGGGGTAGTGGGTTAGGTTAGGTTGAGGGGAGGAGGGGTAGTGGGTTAGGTTAGGTTGAGGGGAGGAGGGGTAGTGGGTTAGGTTAGGTTGAGGGGAGGAGGGGTAGTGGGTTAGGTTAGGTTGAGGGGAGGAGGGGTAGTGGGTTAGGTTAGGTTGAGGGGACGAGGGGTAAGGGATAGCGGCGCGTGGTATATCAAGACCTCACTGACTTACTAGTGAAGCCTTGTAGCTGAATAATATGATGAGTAAGGAGTTCTACTGAGCAAGAGTTGATCCTTCATGTGTGTGTGTTTATCTGCATTACTGACTGACTGACTGACTATCTGAGAGAATTTTTCCTCCTCTGATCACCAGTTCGTAATTACACCCACACTGGCTTCATCTCTTTCACGCTTTGTTGACTAACGCAGTTTTTTATATGGATACTTGCCATTATACTGTACTAAAAATGTGTAATGAGCAATCAACAGTGCCTGGCGTCCCCTCCCCCTCCCTCGTGCATCCCCATTTGACACGTTCATGAGAGTTAGGTCAGACGAACGTTCGCCCGTATTCTGCCAGCGGTGGTGTTCATTATGGTAGGGTTATCTGGGTCAAATGAGGCGTGACACTTGTGTATTGTGTCTGGTGATGGTGGTAGTAGTACTGATTAAGGTGATGATGCAAGTCTGTGTGGTATTTCTCCCCCCTCTCTCTCCCCTCTTAGATGATCCCTCTTCACCCTCTCTTACTCAGATGACTTCTGACCTCTCCCTCTCACGTGACTTCACCCCCTCTCCTCCTCTCACATGACTTCCCTCTCCCCTCCCTTACTGTCACAGCTCCCCTCTCTTCCCTCTCACATTTCTTGAGTATCAGGGATGAGTCACCGAGAGAGTAAGTAGTTTCTCTTCATGCTCTGTGACTCACTAACCCTCGTCCTCCCTTATACTCCCTGACTCATCCACCCACACCCTCCCTTAAGCTTCCTGACTCATCCACCCGCACTGTTTCTCACATTCACCCTTATGCTCCCTGACTCATTTCCATGCTCCACCCTTACCCTTCATCTCCCTGGCTCAGTTCCACCACGCTCCTGGCTATACCCTCACCCACATGCTCCCTATTTCAGCATCCTCATCCTCCCTGGCTCAACTCCATGCTCCACCCTTATTCTCCCTGTTCTACCCTCACCCATATGCTCCCTAGTTCAGCTCCACGCTCACCATCTGTTGCTTACCACCAGGCAGTCTTGCACACTTCCACCTTGCCTTAATTAAACACGTGGGAGTCACTAGAACACCTGAGTTAATGGTCTGTTGCTTGCTGGTTATACCGACTAGTAATTACAGTAGTTTATTAACCCCCTTGAGTTCGAGGACTAAGCCGTTGAGTACGAGGACCTTAATTATCTTAAGAGTACAAAGACTTTAACCATCTTGAGTACGAAGACCTTAACCCGTTGTTTCTGAAGTGGTTCGAATATTCGTACTCAAGGGGTTATGGTCCTCAAAGGGGTTAGTTAGGACCGTCGTACTCAAAGAGGGTTAATGAACTCTGAAGTCACTTTAAGAGTAGCGTACTAGTGTTGGCACATACGAATTAGTGTTCGAAATCCCGCCGTTCGGATTAGGAAAAGCTTAAATTGTGCAGTTCAGCTTAAAATCCAGCCACTCAGATTAACCAGTTCTTCTATCCCTTTCCACTCAGATTAGGAAATGTCAAAGCACTGCCATTCAGATTGTCATATGTCTAGCATTTTCCCGTTCTGATTAACTAGTCAGAATCCTTCCTTACTGTCGTCCAGTCAGGTACAGCGAGTAAACAGAAGGGGCTTTTCAGACAGGTGACAATCAGGTGTCACTCAGGATCTGATGGTCTCAATAGCCGTGTGTGTGTTGGTCGGCTACAGCGATACACTTATCGGGGCAGTACACCACGTGAGGCTATACACAACGTAGGGTTAGGTTAGGTTGGGTTTGGTTTGGTTAGATGAGGTTAGATTAGGCTGGTTAGGTTAACTTATTTTCGGTTGGGTTGGTTAATCTTACGGTATAATTACTTATCTGGTGAGGTTAGGTTAGCTTTAGAGTCGTTAAGGTGAAATAAGCTGGGGTGGTAAAGCTTCAGGCGATCGAAGAAGCTGGTGGCTCATAAGAGAAGCCTCAGACAGGTAGACAGGTAACTTCCAGGTAGACAGGTAACTTCCAGGTAGACAAGTAACTTCCAGGTGTAGACAGGAAGAAAGAAGCAATCACCATGGCGTCTTAAAACCGTCTTCGTCCGCTGGAAGGTCAACCACCCCACCCACCTCCCAGCGCCGCTCGC